GGAAGGAAGGAAGGAAGGAAGGAAGGAAGGAAGGAAGGAAGGAAGGAAGGAAGGAAAGGTAAGGAAAGGAACAGAGGCAAAAGAGATGGGGGAGTGAAGGAGGGGAGGAAGGAGCCAGGACAGGAGACAATTCAATGATTGGATTGAAGAGACCACAGCCATTAGAACCAAGGCCTGAGTAGCAGTGCCAATCCATGCTGTAAAACAATGAAAATCTCTCAGAAAGGCAAAAAAAAAAAAAAAAGTGCATTAATTTTTCTTTATACATTTTTGTATTGGTTGTTGTGTTACAGTAGGCATGTGTTATTTGTAGTTTAAAAAGAGAAGAAAATGACAAATGAGACATCATGCTAAAGCACCTATGACAGCTGGATTCACTTTCCAGGAGCAGACATGATCCTTTCACCTTGGTCTTCCACCCTTACTAGCTAACAATGATCAATGCCTACTGTGCACCTACCATGGCATCGGTGCTTTATAAGCTCTATCTCCTTTCCACAACATCCTGAAATAAGTGTATGGTTCCTATTCCACAGATAGAGAGGGCAAGAACAGCCTGACACTTGCTGACCAGTTATGTGCCAGACACTGAATGGAGTGTATCAGCTGCACTGTCTAGTTCATCCTTATCACAGCCCCCTTGGTGTCTAGGCTGTGTAATGTGTCTTAGGGTAACATCTGGCTCGTGTGCGGTGGGGGGTAACCAGATTCCAAGGCAGACTGCCTCACAGCTTCTCTCCATGGTAGGACCTACTCCCCTGTTCTGTACCTGCTCCTCTTGACTTTGAACCACTGAGGACCAAAATGTACATTCACGTCAGACTCCCAGCACAGTGCCACACACATTAGGTACTTGCAAAATGTTTATGAAATTAATGAATTAATTCACAGGCAACTGTATGGAGAGCAACACTTCCTTCCAGCCTCTTGTCCATTCACTGTATCATTATTCCTTTGTTTTAGATAAGCCTTACACTTGGTAAGTGTTAAATAAATGTTTGGTGAATTAATGAGTGAATAAAAAATGGCCACATACTAATGTCAGAATAAATGAAGACAATGAAAAAATATCAACCATCTGAACAGGAGAGGTATGGGCTGGTGTAGACATCTCTAATGGGTAAAACCCACAGCAAGAATCCAGGAACTGTGAGGGATTCCCGTGACACTGAATACTTAGAAAATAGGTATAGATTTTAGTACAAAGAGCTTAAATTTTTTTTAATGTTTATTTATTTTTAACAGAGAGAGAGAGAGAGAGAGAGAGAGAGAGAGAGAGAGAGAGAGCGTGAGCATGAATGGGGGAGGGGCAGAGAGAGAGGGAGACACAGAATCTGAAGCAGGGTCCAGGCTCCAAGCTGTCAGTGCAGAGCCCAAGGTGGGGCCCAAACTCAGGGACCATGAGATCATGACCTGAGCCGAAGTCTTATGCTCAAACGACTGAGCCACCCAGGCACCCCATAGTACAAAGAGTTTTAAATGTTCCCTGTAATTATGCGCCCATGACCTTCTAGAAGAAAGTAACCTACTATGAATAAGGATAAAAATATCATAAACTGTTGGCAGACATACTTAATTGGGTTGGTATTCATTACAATTTGTAATTTGTAAACACTTTCACATAGCAATTCTACTTCTAAGAATTTATCCTAAACTCTGTTCTCAAACACAAAGACATTCCCCTCTCTTTATGAAAGTAGTTAATAACTCCCTAAGTAACCCCAAAAGATAGTTGCTTCTTAATGTATTCCAGTACTACCGCCTACCTACCACAAAGTACTTGCTGCTTTTTCAGAACTACAAAGCTTACTAATTTAGGAACTCCAGTACTATTTTTAAAATGTTCTAGTAGCAATTAGCAGCTGTCAGCTCCCTATGCTCAATTCTCTTTGAGGTCAATTAACAGCACTAGGAGCCAAAAGGGTGGTTGGCAGGAGAAGAGAAGGAAATAAACATTATGCAGAGAATTAAAAAAGAGCAGCATTATGCATTTTCTCATTCAATGTGGTTTCTCCTGAGGCATTTTTATTAATCAGTGGGTACAGAACCTAAAATTTTCTGGGCTGTCCCTATGTGTGTTTTATTGGTTTCTCATGTACCACTTTAGCAAGATTTACTTTACAGAGCTAAGTCTTTTTGATGGTTTTGGTGAGTAAATATAGCATGCTATAGCATTTTTTTTTACTAGTGCAGAATTGTTTGGGGGGAGAAAACCTGATACAGATTCACAGGGAAATAGATATACAGTAATGGGATCTCACAGTTAAGTGATTTGTGGATATAGTCATCATATGGCTATGAAAGATAGGTGTTCCTTTATGCATATTTTCAGTAATTATCTTAATGGTTAATTTCCTATGACATTAAAGTAATTTAAAATATATTGGGGGGAAAAAAGATTGTTTTTACAGTCATTTTGAACTTGAACTCAAATTTAAGCAACAACTTCAAAACAGACAGGAATGTATTCTGGTTTGCTCCAGGAGGGAGGAAATGCAGAGCCCTCTGAGGAGGTTAAGCTCTCTCCAACAGGCAGGCTTGTTTTTGCAAGTTTCCTAGGTCTACTCCATTCTATTACGTATACATATCTCCAGTGGTAAGGAACCAGTGTCTTCACTTAAACACACTCAGAACATCACATGGAAGGGGAATTAGGCCCCTCCCTGGAAACTAACAAAAGCCTGTTCACCCTTCTACTGCTGAAGAGCATTTTGAGACAGATGAGCTACACATAAAAAAAGTCAGTAGCTAACAGTGAATCAATACACATAGAACAAGATGCAGAGAAATATGTAAGAAGAAAAGTCAACACAAAAATAGGATAATCTACCAGAGATAAAATTACCACTTATTTTTCCCAGGTTTCTGAAAATGTATTAACAATAACCAGAAAACAAAAGTGATAAAAGATTATAGATAAGTTACATGGCTGCTAAATGTGCCTTTTAGCCATCTTCTTTTGATAATAATGTTCCAGCAAGCATGCAGAATTAAAATGAAGATCAAAGGTAAGTTGGAACCTATGTGGCCCCATACCACTCTGTCAGCCATTGGTTAAGGGGTTGAGCACAAGTATGAAGTCCCAGAAAGGGGCCTGGACAAAGGTGGTGGCTATGTACAGATCAGATTTTGTATAAACTGAGTCGACACCTTCACTCAATCATGCTTGAGAAGCTTCAAGCTGATCTTTTAAGAAATAAACTCACCTTTGGTGGAAGCAGCCCAAAATGTCCATCAATAGATGAAAGGTAATATATATATATATATATACACACACACACACACATATATACATACACATATATATACATATATGTATACATGTATACATATGTACACATATATGTATACATAAAAAATATATATACATATGTATACATATATATGTATATTTTTAAGGCTATATAGGTATATGTAGCCTTAAAGAGGAAATAAATTCTGACACATATTACCATATGAATCAACATTATGATCAGTGAAATAAACCAGACACAAAAGGACAAACACTGCAAACACTAAAGCAGTACAATTCAAAGAGACAAAAAGTAGAATGGTGGTTTCTACGGGGCTGAGGGTGGGGGAAATAGTGCCTAATGGGCACAGAGTTTCAGTTTGGGAAGATGAAAAGAGTTCTGGAAATGGATGGTTGCAGAGCAATATGAATGTACTTAATGTCACCTGAAGTCTATACTTAAAAATGGTATAAACGGCACATTTTATATCATGTGTATGTTACCACAATAATAAAAGATAACTCACCTTTGAAGTTGCCAATGTATAGGCCAGGCAGGATCTAAGAGAGAGACACAGATCAAATGTGAGTGTTACAGACTTGAAGCACACAGAGGCTGGGCCCTCACCACAGCAGTGGGAGCACAGCCCAGGTCTGTTGCCTCCCATGCCCACTTCCCGGCACCTTCCTATATGGACAGCATAGATGACTGGGCATCCTTGTTTCCAGGGCTCTGACCCTGCCCACAGCCACTAGAAAGCCTGCTCAAATAGCTTGTGAATAGCTGCATGTTGGTACCCATCAGCTCATGGGACTTTAAAGACCAGGATCCCCCCACAGATCCTCACAGAGAGCCGCATGTTCTCCCTCACTTAAGCCCTACAATGCTCCTTAGCATTCTGAGAGTACAGCCCCAAATCAAAGGGGCCCAAATCCAAGCTGTCTACCACTCCTCCCTACCCTTCCCCCTCTACTCCTCCTTTTCTCATAACACCGTAAATACCCCCCCACTTATCTCATAGCTCCAGAAAACCTCCCTTTGCTGAGATCTTGGTGCATGCTCTTTCCAAGTCTGGAAGCTATACTCCTACTCTCCTCATCCCTCAGGTCTCAGCTCTGACTCACACCCTGGGGAGGCCTTTCCTGAGTCCAGAGTCTGGGGTAGGCCCCAGTTTCAGCACCCACAGTCCTTGGTATTCCCCTTATAGTGATGATGTCACAGGGTATTGCTAGATGAAGGTCTGTCTCCTCTGCTGGCTAGAAAGCTCTTTGGACAGCAAACATACTCTCACTCACTGCTGTATATCTAGCTTCTGGCCCAGGGCTTGGTTCATGATTACTATTCAATAAAGAACTACTAAATGAATGAATCAACTGTGCATTTAGAAATAAATGCACAGGTTAATAAAAGCATACGTTTGCTCCAAAATGTCTACTTCTCCTAAGGCAGTGGTTCTCAAACAAGACAATCCATCAGAATCACCAGAAGGTGTTAAAAATTCAGATTTATGAACAAGCCCCAGCCCCAGCTGCCATATAGAATGATTCAGTAAATCTGAGATAAGAACCAGGGCAGGGTTTTTCACACGCAACTCCCCACTTTGCAAAATACAAAGCTAATTCTTATCTGGCATTACTTTGTATGAAGAGTTTGAAATCCAAATACAGACACTGCTTTTGGAAGCTGACATGATTTTCAAATGCATAGAGAATACTGGCCACTGCAGACCCTTGGTGCCCTGGTGACACCCTCCTGTCAGTACTACTACCCCACACCCTAGCTCCATTCGCTCCACCACCCCTCAGCTCCATTTGCTTCACACTCCCTATTTTTATCCACTCCCACCAAGAAAGCTGAAAGCAGCATGTAGTAATATTCTTCACATGCATGGATTTCTTTGAGCATCTTCCTGACAACCAGCTACCTTGCTAAAAATTGATAGCATCTGTGCAAGTCACTGCAGGCAGAAGGTACTGTGTCACTGTCAAGGCAGCCTGCTGGAACACAGCAATACAGGTCTAGGGTTAGCTTCTGTGCTGGGGTACAGAGGTTGCCAAGCTGAGGGGCCACAGAACATAGCGACCAAATAGGGATACTTGTGAGAAGGAAAAAATAATTTATTACTATAGCTGACCCTTGAACAATGAAGATATTGGGCATCAACCCCATCCAAAAAGTTGAAAATCCATGAATAACTTTTGACCTATCCAAAACTTAACTACTAATTTAGCCTACTTTTGACTGGGAGCCTGACCAATAGCCTATAAATGCATATTTTGCATGTTATACGTATATTAAACTGTATTCTTACAATAAAGTAAGCTAAAGGAAAGAAAATGTTGAGAAAATAATAAGGAAGAGGAAATACATTTACAGTACTGTAAAAAAAAAAAAAAATCCTTGTACAAGTTGACCCTTGTATTTCAAACTTGTGTTGTTCAAGGATCAATAGTACTCCAGGACAACAGGCAAGACCCAGACGTGATCAGGGCATGGGGATGTGTGATCACCATGGCTCACTGAGTTTGGAGAGTTCCCTTAGGGACTGAGAGGCCAGTTATATTCATGACTGAAGTCACAGCACTGAGGCAAGCCAGGTTAGATCTGTAACCAGGAACATGTGAAACAGTATCTCAGGGGAAAACACCAGCATCCATTGCCAAGGAGCTAAAACATCTGACAGGTCTTTCTTGAAACATAATCAGTCTTTGGGATTCTCCTGGGAGGAAGGGTGGAGAAAATACTGCATTATTCCTATTTTAAAATATAAGAACAATACAAGTTCATCTTAGAGATAGATCAAACTGATAGTCTCTGGCAGCTCTTGGCTGCATAGAGCTTTTTCATATGTAATCTCCTGTTGTACAGGGTCTCTCCTATCTTTATTAGGAGGTAACATTAGATACTAAAGGGTGTAATCGTCACATGGCTCTCTTGGCTGATAGTACCAATGACTTCCTCCTTGAGCAAACTTCAGTTAGGCTCCTTTGAGCCTTCCTCTTGACTAGGCCTCATCTGTGGCCTGCCAGTTTTGGCAAAGAATTCTGCTAAGCCTGTTTAGTAAGAATCCTCCCACTCTTTATATCCAGTCAAGCTCATTTCATACCTTTTATACCTAATCAAGTTCTTTTCAGTAATTTTCTATCCTTCCCTCAACTTGCCTGTTGGCTAGAAATCCCCACTTTTTCCTGTTGTATTGGGAGTTGAGTTCTGTCACTTGCAATAGTACCTCCCCCTATTTCAACAGCATCAAATAAGGTCTTCTTTACCACTTTTAATAAGTGTCAGAATAATTTTTCTTTTATAACATTGACCACAAATGGCTCCAGATTCATAAAATGGACAATTATAATGAACTATAATATAAGCATGTGTATTTGCCAAAAATCACAGAACATATAACAGCAGATGAATGGTTTACTGATTTCTGGTCACACGTGGGCAGCATGCTTAGCACTCAGGATATAGGGGTGATGGAGAGAGATATGGCACTGCCAAAGGCCTACTTCCCTTGTGGAACTCCTTGCCTAGGGAAAGAGGAGGTGACTTGACCACTCTGGGATCGCCAAAGATTTCCAGGAGGCAGCAACACTTAGGAGACCTGCAGTTCAAGGGTAGTGGGCCACGAGAGAGGGAAGGACAGGCAGGGGAGCAACGGAAACTGCCAGTAGAGAGAAAGAAGGCCAATATCCACCAGGAGAGAACATGAGGGAGGCAGAGACACAGAAGGAAGAACAGGAGGCTGTGGTCCAGATTGTGGACCAGGCTGCATGCAGCAGACACAGACAGCCATGGAAAGCTTTCAGGGCTCTAGATTAAGTACCACTAAAATGATTAAGATGTGTGTAGCCATTAGCAATATCTTTTCATATATTTTTATTTAACATATCTTGGAAATGTCATGATAAAAATACAGGAAAGGTAAAGTTGTATATGTAGTCAATGTATTCATTATCATGTTTACCTCTGTAAAGGGAACACTGGGGACTGTGGGGAGGGTCCAGGTAGGGCCACTTTGTATTGCTGTTTGCACTTTTCTATATGGTTTGGATGGTCTAACTTCATGCAAGCATTACTTCAATTTACTTTTCTTTTTAAGTGTATTTATTTTGAGAGAGTGAGAGAGAGAGAGAGAGCGCACATGAGCATGTGCAGAGGAGGAGCAGAGAGAGAGGCAGAGAATCCCAAGCAGGCTCTGTGCTAACAGCACAACCCAAACATGGGGTTCCATCCCATGAACCATGAGATCACGACCTGAGCCAAAATCAAGAGTTGGACACTTAACTGACTGAGCCACCTAGGTGCCCCTACTCTTTTAAGTCAAGAGGGGTTATTTGGGGAAAAGATTATAGCCCAGTTTTTCTTTTCTTTTTTGTAAATAAAGAAATACGTTTCTATTCTATTTCTATTCTAAAATAAATACGTTTCATATTATTTTTTAAATAAAATAAAGCAAGAACTTGAGATCACCTCTCTTCCTTGCTCTAAGAGCCATGGTTTTATGATTGCCTTTTTTTAAGTTTATTTATTTTGAGAGAGAGAGAGCACAATCAGGAGAGGGCAGAGAGAGAGGCAGAGAAAGAATCCCAAGCTGGCTCTGCACTGTCAGCACAGAGCCCAATGTGGAGCTCGAACCCACAAACTGCAAGATCACGCTCTGAGCCGAAATCAAGAGTCAGATTCTTAACTGACTGGGCCACCCAAGTGCCCCAGTTTTATGATTCCTAAATCCATCCTTTAGAAGCCAACACCAGTCTGGCTTCCACTCCCTGCAAGGCTATCTAAAACCAAACATTATCTTCCCACCCACATTATCAATTCAAGTCTCCTGATGATGTCACTTTCTCCCAGTCACCCAGAGTGAAAACCTGGAGGCTACTCCCACCACAGTACCTCCCTCTCTCTTCCTTAATGCCTCTCTCTCCCCAGTGAGTTACAAATTCCCAGAACAGTCCTGGCTCCTTGGCCCAAAGCCACCACCCCAGATCAGAGCCTCAGTTCATATATGGGCTAGAGTAGTATCCATTGAACTAACTTCTCTGTCCCATCAAATTAATTTTTAAATGTCATATTCTCACTGGGTCATTTTCTAGATGTTTCATAGCAAACCCTTTATTTTCTAGAAAAAGAAAGCCAAAACTGAATTTTATTTTTATTTTTTAAAATATGTTTATTTGATTATAGTTGATACACACTGTAACATTAGTTTCATGTGTATAAAATAGTGATTTGGCAATTCTATACATTATACTACACTCACAAGTGTAACTAACATCTGTCACCATATGACACCATTACAATACCCTTGACTATACTGCCTATGCTGTACCTTTCATCCCCATGACTTACACATTCCATAACTGGAAACCTGTACTCCCCACCCCCCTTCACCCATTTTGCCCATCCCCCCCACCACCTCCCCTCTGACATCCACCAGTGTTTTCTCTGTATTTATAGGTGTGATTCTGCTTTTGGTTTGCTTATTCACTTGTTTTGCTTATTAGATTCCACATATAAGTGAAATCGTATGGTATTTGTCTTTCTCTGACTTATTTTAACT